AGCTTTTATTTTGGAAAGAGACATTTCTCTGTAATAAACTCTCTTTTCCAAAGATGAGTGATTCCTCCATCAGATAGATTTATTTTTATTACTTTGTTGTTTCAGCAACATTACATTTAAAAACTGTACTTTTGAGTTAAAATATATATTTATAATTTTAATAAATGACAAATTAAAAAGGCATGAACATTTTTTGTATCGAAAAAATATCAAACCGTGACACCAAAGTATCGAACTGAACCGAACCGTGAATTTTGTGTATCGTTGCACCCCTACTAGTGAGCTAGTTAGGCAGCTATGGGTGTAAAAACTCCATGTGCTGACAGGTAAGAGAGAATTAGAAGTTATTAACGTTCAACCTGGTCCTAATGAGCCACTATGCAAACAGCACCCACAGCCAGCACTTTAAGATATGAACATGGGAGATTATTTACAGCTGATACTGATTTTATACATTTTCTGTGTCATTTCCTGGGATTGTGCAATCAAACCACCATCATCATCATCATCATCATCATTGTCATCATCATCATCATCATTGTCATACCCGTCAACCTGAATTTAAGGAATAAATCACACAAAAGTTATGGGAAACTACAGGAACTGTCTGAATAATGACAATGAATAAATAAACACTGTAATAAGTATTTTAAAAATTATTATGTAGATTATGTCATTATTATGAATTCATTATTATGTAGCTGTCTTAACAGTAGTTTTACTAATAATGTATGGATTGCAGTGACTGAAAGTTAGTTGAGCACTCACTGTGGCAGGGTTTGTATCGTCTCCAACGCTGTTTCTGTGTGAAGAGCAGGACAGTTTCTCAGAGATTCTCTATGCAACACTCGAGCCTTTCAGCTGCTCTTTCACTCTTTGTGAACTCTGCAGAGTCAGAACAAAGACTTAGAGTCATGAGGCGGAAATGATGGAACACAAAACAAAAAATAAGAGCAAAGTAAGCGCAAAGATATATGAGAAGCATAAGCAAACTAAGGAATAAACTGATGACATTTAACAATAACTGAACTTCCCAGAACCAAGACAGGAAGTTAATCTAAAATCTTCCCCTCTGTCTCTTTCTTCTCCTTCAGACGGGGGAGATGGAGGTGAAGAACCCGCTGTTTGACGACTCCACCCTCTACCTGCAGAGACTCCACAAATGAACCTGGACACAGACATTTCATGCTCTAAATGCAGCACCTGTATGTACAAATAATTATTTCAGTGGACAGATCTGACACCCTAAACAGCCAAACTACATTTCCCGTTTTGTTTACATATTTCTTTACTGTTTATTACACACATATTCAACCATACATGCTGAGTATTTATGAGCTCACTGATAGAACAGGCTTTGCTTTTATTTCAGCATTTTAAAAAGATGTAATGTTGATATTTCCTGAACTCAGCTCAGCGACTTCTCTTATGTGTTATGTACTCGTTGTTTTTCCGTCTTGCTGACACCATGTCTACATGCATCTGCATTCTTACAGTTATATATTAGACAAAGATAACACAAGTAAATTAAATGTATAACTGAAGGTGTTTATGATTAAGAGGGAAAATCCATACCTGCATAGCCCTGTGTGATGAAGTGAACGTGGACTGACGAGACAAAGGTTGAACTGTCTGGAAGATGTGTGTCCCGTTGCATCTGGTGTAAAAGTAACACAGCATGGGCCATCACACCAGCAGTGATATATGGTGCTGCTGGTGTGACAGTCTGGGCTGTTTCGCTGTCTCAGGACCAGAAGACCTGCTGTGGTAAATGCAACGACCAAAACATCCTGAAGGAGAGCGACTATCTGTTTGTGACCTCGAGCTGAAGCACATTTGGGTTCTGCAGCAGGACAGTGATCCAACACACCAGCAGGTCCACCTCTGAATGGGTTAAGAAACACAAAATGAAGACTTTGGAGTGGCCGAGTCAAAGTCAAGACCTGAATCTGATTGAGATACTGTGGCATGACCTAAAAATGTGGTTCATCCTCAGAAGCTGTTCTGTGTGACTGAATTACAAGAATCGTGCAAAGAGGAGTGACAAAACTCCCCGACAGGACTGCAACAGACTTCCAGTCATCACAAACTTCAGATTGCAGTGGCTTAACCAGATACACACACACACACACACACACACACACTCAGATGGTCTTGTATATTTGGTCTACAGCTGATGTGTTTTCATGGTTTTGTGAGCTGTAAATAGTGGCTGATGTGTGCAGGAGCTATCTTACCTCTCAGTCAGTCAGTGTGGCAGGAGATCCTGAGCACTGTGTCAAATACACATCTGTTATTTCTTAATGTGAATTTGTATTTGTTGGGAAAAGACAATGTCATGTATAACACGTTAAACTTGATGCGTTCGACTGTTGTACCCATTGTGACGAAAGCAGCGAGGAGCCACGCCTTCATGTTCAACATACCCGCCCAGTTTTACTTTGAAGAGGTCTCGATCTGCTGAGACGTCAACAAAAATATGAAAAAAAGGAAGATTACATGTAGCTGTGGACACGTCGCCATAAAAGAAACTTAAAATCAAAGAATCCAAACAAAAGAAACAACTCAGAATAGTATATATAAGAAAACGGCGCCGACCACAGTCCCCAGAAATATACAACTTAAAGCATCGCAGAAACAGCGTTCCCTTTATGCATCAACAGCTGCAGTGTGGGATTGAATGAATGAATGAATGAATGATTGAATGAATGCTTTATTGGCCATATGCAGAGGAATAGAACCCCCCCGACTTACACACACAACATAGACATCACATGGGAACACAGGTCGGAGATCGGCAGCGTTTCAGAAAAACACTGAAAAAGTACACAACAATGGGAAAGTACAAGAGGAAAAAAGGAGACCTCTGCTCATGCTGGCACCTATGGGAGGACAGCATGAGAACAGGATTGCAGCCTTTTCCAACATTGAACTGATTCCAAAGCTTTTACATTTACTCCCTGAGAGATGGGGACATTTTTAAATGTATTCTAGATGCAGAGAAACCAGGACATGTGTCGGCACACATTGGATCAGGTTTTCTTTCCTTTGTCAAATCTATGTTTGTGCATTTTACTTTGTCCTGCATAATAATCACTCAAATAACATGAAGTTTGATTTATGATTTTATTTCAATATTATGGATTGAATGTTACACTCACTGTTACAATATTTCCATCGATGCATAAATGCAAACTTGCAACAAATGCTCCCTTTATGATCGTTCAAACTGTTTACCTGCACTGTACAGAGTGTTTCTGTCATTTATCATCATGTAAAAAGGCCATCCATATAACTCAGCTGCCCGTGTCCCAGGGCTTTTATATTACACTGCATTAGTTTTATCCTACTGAAGGTTCAGTATGTAGTCCATGTAGTGGGCTCTGCTTAATAAAGTGCACCGTTATAATGCAAAAATCTCCTTTTCTTTGCAGACTTCATAACGGTCTCTGTCACTAACAGTAGAAACTCTGGATTTTTGTGTTGACTGGGCGTTCTCTGCTTTCCTGTACTAGAGCTGTTCGTCTGACCTGGTTAGGACTTAATATGCACAACTGCCTTTCTATATATCCTCATATCGCCCCGCTCCATAGATATTCTTCATACATGTAGAATGAGTGTCCAGCTGCAAACAGTCCAGGAAACCTGGACGTAACCGCGTCTCTCAGGAAAGTCGCTGTCCGCGGCTCCTTTCTTCATCCTGCTGCCGTCCTCCTCGGCCTGTCAGCACTTCCATCCTGGAGGAACACATTAATGTGCACTGGAGCTGCTCGTGTGCTGTACGAGTGTCCACATCCAAACTCACATATGTACCAGGGAATATTAACACGGAAGCCCTTTACTATGTTAAACAGACTGTTGAATCCAAACCTCTTAAGCTTGTGCAGCAAAATGAGTCTTTGGATGAGGAATTACAAGAAGAGATGTAATTCTCATGTTTGTCTTTTTAAAGACGTTTGCAGCTCTGCTTCACCTGCTGAGCAAAAGCCCAGCAGCTTGTCTTTATTTGCTCTTTCTCTGAGTGTTGTAAAGGAACTGTACAACAAGTCTTTCTCTACATGAGCTACATGTGAGACTGTTTGAAGGCTAAGTGTTATGATTCTGTACATTTACGACAACTTCATTACTTCATGTTTAGCATGCTTGTGGATATACCAGAGCTGAAAGAAATAAATATTTATATAATCGCTATCTGAGTAGTTGTAAAGTGTTTGTTTTTCTTTCTTTGTTAGTTTTTTGCATCATCTTAATCCAATAATTCATAGGTTAGGGAATGTTTCTGTCCAATCTTAATTCAAGGAGGAACGTTTCTCTGGTATGAAACTAACCCTGCTGTTTCACATATGCAGTAAACATGCATCGACATCAGCACTGTGACAACTATACATTATCTTTTTGTTTTTGTTAATAAAATAAAATTTGAAATATGATGGTTATGATTAAGACCTGAGCACTCTGTGAAAGCCTTACTGTATCTGCTCTGATTATTGATATTAAACATACTGTTAAACTCGTGAACTTCTACACATGCATCAGGTCTTTTGAGGATTTGGAGAATATAAAAAGGCTCCACAGCGCCACGTCTGAAAGTATTCCCAGCGTACAGCTGACCATATGGTCCACAGCTGTAACAACCCAACACATAAAAAACGCTGTGTGGATCCGTGGTGTGTCACATGTCTTACTCTTTCAGGCACAGCTTCAAGGTTTGATCTGAGCCATCAAAAATGTAAAGGTGTTACTTTATGTTCAAAGTTGTGAGTTTTAATCCGAGGACATGAGCCTAGCATCATGAGAACTTTTGATATGTTGCCATGAAGCATGCAACTAAAAAAACACCAATCTGTACAGGGACTGAAAGTTTCCCCACCGAGAGTAAATCGAGACTACAGAGTCCAGGCCTTCTCCAGGAGACTGCTTCAAGAGTCAGAGCTGTGTGTTGAGGCGAGCCTGACTATATTAGCCAGTATCTCTCAACCTCACACACTAGCTCAAGCTTCTTCCATGTCCGAGTAGCCCAATAGATTGGATTGCCAGGGCCTCTGCCGTTGGCCGCCACCCAACACACATTGCACCCAAACCCTATGGTGTCTCCTGAAGGGGGTCGGCCTATCGCAGAGCAGGCCCATGGGGAAAGCCTCAGCCACCCGGTCCTCTCCGTTGAGCTCTTTCCCCAGGTCTGGCTTTAAGTTGGGGCCCTGGTAAACCTATCCTGGGCAGGATACAGTAGCTCTTGCTTATTCCTCTTTTGTAAGTGTTAACTGAATTGTTTTTGGTCTGCCCCCTTTAGGGATGGGTATCGTTTAGGTTTTATCCGATACCGGTGCCAAACCGGTACTTTTGAAACGGTGCCGGTGCTTAAACGGTGCTTAAAGAATGGAGAACACAAAATTGGTCCAAAAACCTCTCATGTTCAGCTGTTTTCCACTTTTTCCTTTGGTCATTTTAGCCTTTTTGTTTACATGCATTAATGTAATAACGTGGTTAGCCTACTCAACGTAAATTACACACGAACAACATTAAGCTACTCACGCAGAGAAGAACGGCTGCTGCTGCATCATCATCCTCATCATTTCTGCTACACTGGCAGGGCTAGGGGCCAGGACTCTCCTCTTCGGGTTTTTGGGGGATGTTGCTAACTCCGGGTCGATAACAGGCACCACACCCGCAGTAGATGTGCTCGGTGTGAGGCACCGGATACCGGTACCCATCCCTAGCCCCCTTCACCCAGAACCAATTTGCCTTAAGAGACCCTACCAGAGGGTAAAGCCTGACAGCATAGGTCCTGGACTCATAGGGTCACACAAACCCCTCCACCATGGTGGTGGCATTATTATTATTACTATTCTCATTATTATTATTCTTAAAAACATTTTTCTAATACATCAAGCTGCCAAAACAGCTCTGGCTCGTTAGGCCATGCACACTCATAGGTCGTTGCTTCAAGCCTACGATCACACTATCATCACTACATCCTAAATATTGGGACGTGTGTGTGTTCTGGGTGTTGCCATATGTGATGCAGTTCATTATGCTTCCTGCTGTCCAAGAATGCTGTTGACATGCTGACGTTGCATCAACACCAGGTCTCAGGTTTCAGAATATTGCATTTCAGATTGTTGTAATCATCTCTGTGCTGCAGCAGAAGTGCACCAGGCTCCAGTTTTTTACCAATTATGTGGTCATGATTGACATTGTGCCTGCAGACAGCTTCAAGTACAAGTGGGAAAAGGAACGACTTCAGAAACCACTGAGCTTCATGGTACATGCATGCACACTGTCAGTCCCACAGCTACAGTGTATCTATCTTACAGACATTCTCTGACTATCTGAATGGGAGCAGTTTGTGTGTTTGGGGATATTTGTAGAGCTGTTTGAAGTTATTACTGAGCACAGTTCCAGCTCACTTTAACAGCTTTCACATATGTGCGCTATATAAATATGCACCACATATATAAGTACAACTATACTGTATGGTGTTTCTTTTCAGCACATTTGACTGACATGCAGTTAATAAATGATAAAGGTCACAGTTTAACAACACTAACATGTGGCACTTTTTCTCACGTTTCTTATTTTAATCAGTTAAATTTTAAAGTGGATGTAAAAGGATCAGAAAATTAATTTTACATTTACTTAGCTTGTATTTACATTTCATGAAACATTTGAATATAATGCACCAAAATAAACCAGAAAGGGAAAAATAAGTTGCACTAAAAATGAATATTTAGTTTCTATTCTGAGAAGTTCTGTCAAGTAAAACAAATTCGATGCCATTTACTGGATCGACGAGATCATGAGCTGAACAGAGGAGAATGAAGTATCCTCTGTTTCCTGTGACAAATTCATTTTCATCTTCATGCATACAGTTTACTGCATGTAGTATCATCAGATGTTTTAAGTCATACAGCACAGTTCAATACACCTGATGTCGTATTTGATGCCTTTTAAACTAAACTTGAAGCGACCAGAAGAAAAACAACAATCTTGTAAATCATTAATTTTTAATCTTTATAAATAAAATTCAAATGTGACGATTTCTGCAGTTATGTCTGTTTCTTTACTTTGGCTCTATGATACAGAAATGCATTAGGAAGATCAACTATAAAGGACAAGGCACGAAGATTTCAGTGATTTTGTCACAAAAACCACATTGATAATTTGCCCCGAGCACCACGTTTAGCATGTTTATGGCTCAGTTTGTCCTCTGTATACCTTTTTCCTTTTTCTGCTTTCTTCTGACCACTACTCCTGCTACGGCCTTCATCTGGGTCGGAGTTTTCTCCAGGACTCAGGTCAGACTTTATCTTTTCAAAGATTTATGTATTGCTATTACGTGATGTGTGGTCTTAGAGACACAGACAACCATTCACACTCACTCACAGATTCACACCTATGGGCAATTTAGATTAATCAGTTAACCTATCCCCACAAACTGCATGTCTATGGACTGTGGGAGGAAGCCGGAGTACGCGGGGAGAACATGCAAACTCCAAAAGAAAGACCCCGGCCTAATGGTGGAATTAAACTCAGGACCTTCTTGCTGTGCGGCAACAGTGCTAACCACTGTGCTGCTCAATGATGATAATAATAATAATAATAATAATAAAAATAACAATAATAATAATAATAATAATAATAACAACATTTTATTTATAGGTGGCTTTAAATACCCTCAAGGTCACCTCACCTCTGCTAACTTCTAACTCTGTTAAATTTATTAAATTCGGTTTTTGTGGATGTTAAACTTAATTGTTACTAGAGATGGACCGATCCGATATTACGTATCAGTGTCGGTCCGATACTGACCTAAATTACTGGATTGGATATCGGAGAGAAATAAAAAATGTAATAGATCCGTTAAATATCACGAAAGCACCTCACAAAACTTGCAACATGGCGTAACTCGGCTCATAACCTTAGCAGTTGGAGCAGTGTGCATCACGTGATGGAGCGCTGTGGCGTGCCAGACCTGTCCTGGAGCCTCGCTACCAAACCTGCATTTCATCTCGAGAATGTTACCCCAGAGAAGTAAAGCAAGTGTGTAAGTTCATCTCTGAATGTTTGTAAAGCAATTTCACGTTAAGCTTAACAACCGATATATGGAGCGACTGCCTCTCTCTCTCTCTCTCTCTCTCCTGCTGCTACTTCAATCATAAACTGATCAATGATCAGCTGATCGGCTTTTCTCTCTTGTTTGTTTTTGTCTCACTTTGCACCAGAAAGAGGAAACCAGCAGCTGAACAACAGCAGCACGTTT